AATATCTTCGTACGGTGGACGATACTGTATTTGACCCACAGTACGAGTGAGAACGATGACCGAGGTAATGGTTCCCTCATCTTTCAACTTCAAGTATTCTTCGACGATAACCGCTCCGATGGTTCCAGCGCCAGCAATTGCGAAGGTCTTATATCCGGACATGTTGGTGATGATGAAGAAGTTAATAGCTTTGATGTGTTCCTCTCCCCATCGTGCTTATAACTGTTGGGTCCAACCCTTCTCTGTCAATATAGTCGAGGAGGTTATCATCGGTCTGAGATGTTGACCGAACCTGGGATTACATCCATCGCAAGGGGCGAAGGGACAAGCTGACAACGCCACTCACGCCGAAATTGAAAATTCTTATGAATAGGCACATACCTTTGATAAACCGATGCTCACGATGGTTCAGGGCCTCTGTGTAGCCGGTGCCGGTCACCGACCGAATCGGTCCTCGACACTCTCTAGATGGTCAACGGCTGACCTGAACGACATACTTATCCTCAGGATCCCAGTTGAAATCGGAGTCAGCGATCATTCAGACAGATGAGATAGGTGGACGGCGTGGTTGATCGTTCAATAATCATCGCTCAGAGTCAGACAGAAGGTTGGTAAACGTGATACGTGACGCGTGACGAGGACAAGCGTGATGCTGACCAGAATAATCGATGGCCGGCTGCTCTAGATCTCACCAACTGCTTGACTGTATGCGAGCTAGTACGATGCCTCTGCAGGCACTCTCAGCTGCACGTTCTTGTTATGCCTTAGGCTGAGGAGCTCATCCGTTACTTCTTGGCCTCTGCCCAATTTTGCCGTCAGCGGACCATTCTGGTTCACTTCGTTGCTAAATCCCACCTTATTGTCCTCGCAGCGGTGCCGAAATCCGGTATCGACACCTGATTCAAATCTATCTCACACCATCAAGCTCTCGTACAAAAAGGCTATCTAGTCTATGATATAGAATCTCAGACACAATAACTCTGAGACATAGAGGTGATTGCTCTCTCGGTGTTTATTTCCGTTTCTTTTGTCTGTGATGTTTCATCTCCGTCAGGCTCCCGCCGTGAGCCCCGTCAGACTCTTTGTAGCCGCAGAACACAACAAGGTGGGGATGAAGCTTGAATTGGTCCGTATGATCGTTAACGCCACTCCTCTCGCTTCTCTGTCAACATCTATTTCGTTCTTTTTGTTTCTTGAAGGTATGAATACTCTGGGCAGCGTGTTAGATTTTCCCCATCTCGGTTTGCCATTCTTCCTCCATACACAAGCCGGCTTGTTTCTTCCAACTTACTACTGTATCCGTTATCATGGCATCTGCGATGTTCCCCTCGCCACCTCCCACCCACAACACCTTGACCTCCCGGGAACGTGCTCATCTCCGTAGAAGCACCAATAAACTCGCCCGAGTCTTGGGCTCCACGCCGCAAGTTGTAGAATACTCCCGCCCTTCCGGTTTGCGATTTGCTCCCAGTTTCCTTCGGTGACTGACTCTTCAATCTTCCCCTCCTACAGAGCCAGTTCATGTCCAACTATCGGTAAATCATAAACGTTCCAGCTCGCAAGATTCACACCACAGCACCTCATCGACTTCATCATTTTCCTCGACATCCACGGCCAACCACACACTGGTATCTACTATCAGCAATACCACCACGGTGGCTTATCGCCACCCAGATGATATCCTCGCATCAAAACTGGCTTGCATGTCACTCGAGCCTTCTTCTTGGACTTCAAAGAAGAATCGAAGGCTGACGAAGCCTCCGACAAGCAGGACCTCTCCCACACCGACATCTCCACCCGAAACCAAAGCTGACGAGGTTTGGGCAGAGCGCTTCACAAACCGTCGACCTCCCATGCTTCGCCTGGCGGTTCCCTCTTCGACAGCATCTGCCCGACCCTCCCTTGATACAATCCCCGCCTCTCCCTTCACCATTTGTCCACCCTCCATTTCCGATATGGAACTCTCACCAGAACCTACGCAGCCGAACTTTAGGATCGAGACCGAGGCGTCGGTAAAGAGGGCTAAGATGGAGAGGTTGAAGAGGAAGCTGGGCGAGGGCGTTCCCGTGGACATGGTCTTTCCTTCGGGTAGATAATGCGTCGCAGTTGACTGGAGGAGAGGACTTCGTGAGGTGTGGCTGGATTGAAGTTGTGTTGAGGGATGTACAACAAGTATCTTTCCCCAGGTCTTTGGTTGGGTAACTTCGTGTGGCTAGCTGGCTTCTGTTTTCATCCTTATCCGCCCTCCCGATGATCCAAGTAATCATCTACCTGACAATCTATTAATAAAGTTGTATATTTTGTAAATGCTTGTATTTTTACACCGACCTTTTTAACGTACCTATTAGACGTTTGAGGCCTCCTTTACAATGCATCACTCCAGTTTCAATGTGGATAGTGAGATCAGTGAGGGCCCCACGTTGCACATTTTAGGGTGTTTCTCGCACCAAGGAGATCGGAATAGGTAGTGCTGGTTGAAGAGACGGTGATGGGGCCAACTTCGGGCGATTTGGCTCAGACGCTGGCGGGAAGTGACTAAGGCTCGGTGTTTCTCTCAGTTGAACAACGCAGGAGTCGGATTTTGGCCATTCGACAGAAGGTCGAGATTGGACGGGAGTGAAAAGAATTTGAATCCAATTGGTCCATGAGAGTAAATATATGATACAAGGTAAAGGTATCTCATTAGTCTAGTTGAACAGGACTATCAGAAAAGACGTTTCCTGGCGGTGGTTAAGCACTTACCTATGGTAAAAACTGCCCAATCCTCAGGGGGGCCCTGACCACCACCACCGCGCAATTTTCCAAGTGAACCAAAAGCCGACAAGGAATAGGATGCAGTAAAGGATGAGTCGCCATTGTTTGACGCCTCCCTGCCCTAACCCAAAAGCCCTTGCAGCCTGTCTTGAAGATTGCGCTAATGACGCGCCGAACGAAGAGAACGAATCGCCCTTTGGCCACCAAATTAAATCCTCCCTCTGCATGAGTGCTTGTAGAACCGAATACTCACCGTATCGTCCAACATAAGGTTCTGTCGTTCAACATCGTCGTGGATATCGGTTGTGACCTACGTTCGTGTGCCAGATGAGAACCCAGTCGTCATTATAAGTATCGCTACGCACACCGCGCAATGTACGGAGCTTGGAGTGTAGCTCGTCTAGACGTTGGTCATTCTGAGTCTCGTAGGTGTCTTCCACTCGGCCTCGGGACGTGGACATGACGATGAGGAAGAAGGATCGGTCGTGGGAAAATGGACTTCGTCGAATGTTGGAGTTGAATTTCTGAACTCTCCTCCCTGAGCCCTCTGGTCGTGTAATGCTCACCCATGGCTACTCAACCATCTCTTGTACCCGACAGGATGTGCAAGCAATAGCGGTCCTTTCATCTCCACAGGGCTGGAAGACCAACGTCTGAATTCTCTTCCACACTGTCAACGCCCACTCCCACCAGACCCATCGAACCAGTACTAGTATCACTCTCGATCTGAAGCTCTACTAGACAGCCCAGGACTCCTTTATTCTGTTCACTTTTCGAAGGTTTTGTGAGTATTCTTGCCAACGATTATATTTATCTTCGCTTCATCCGAGAGAATATCATGTGCCCCTCTTCAGGATGACAAGTTGCCGGGGTAATTGTGCAACTGGCTTATCGCGGCACTTCATCTGCATCGTGGACTCATAGACAGTTACTTGTCCTCGGGAATTCTCAATTGGACTATACTTCGACCATGTCGACCATCCGTCGTGAGGAGCAAGTAGCTGCGAACAACATCCCCGCACTTGATCCCACGTTGCTCAAACTTTCCGAGACGGAAGTCCAATTCTTGCATGCCACCGTGGCCAGTGAAGATGAGGAGATGCAAAGGAGAGTCCGAGAGGTGCAAGAAGAGTGAGTTATTCGGGCTCGCTTCTATGGCCAGCAGACTCAATCACTCGCATGGTATCCAACCGAAACAGAGCATAGTACGTCAAAACCCTTTCGGTTAGATTTCTTAGATCTGACTCCTCTGCAATGAATGTAGCTCCAAGTATCCCTACCCTTGTATTCGTGCCTTTCACTATGTAAACCTCATGATGAGCAAGAATGCCGTCTATCCGGATATTGTTCGAGAGGGGAAAGAACGCGGAGATACTCTTTTCTTGGATCTTGGATGTTGCAGTGCGTGTTATCTGGCGTTTTCTTCCCAGCCTTAGCATCTGCTCAAGCTATAGACGCGATAGTGGGTACAGATGTCCGCAAGTTAGCTCTGGATGGCTATCCCGCACGGAATATTCTAGGTTGCGATCTCCGCGAAGAGTACATCACTCTCGGGTACAAGCTCTTCCAGGATAGAAAGAAATCTGAGATACGATTCCTCGCCGCGGATATCTTCGATGTCCCGCTGACTCACAAACCCTCCAATGCTGACCCGACTTCTGCCACCCAGCTCGCTCAGTTGCAAGGCAGTCTTACCCACGTATACACCGGAGCGTTGTTCCACTTGTTCGACGAAGCTACACAATACGCGATTGCAGCCCGAGTTGGCGTTCTATTGAAGAGAGAGAAAGGTGCTGTAGTGTTTGGTCGACATCAGGGACTCGAAGATGCGGGAATGATTGATGATCACATGAAAAGGTGGGGAGATATTTCTCGATGAATCCATCGATAGTTCTGAACTTGTTTGTAGGACTCGATATGGTCACTCGCCAACGTCATGGCCACTGCTGTGGAAGAGGGTCTTCACCGAATTGGAAGATGCAGAATTTGCAGAGAAGCGGCTCGTCGTTGATGCCAAGTTGACGGAAAATCTGTCGGGGATCCCTGGACGCAGCAGTAGGATGCTGTACTGGAGCGTGAAGATAGTATAGATGGTACTGTACCTCGGCTTGTGGTAACACTCTTCCTTTCGCAAGTAGTCTGAAGTACAATGGACCTTCGTCTCATCGGATTCCCAGCGAGGTTGCCAATGATCTACATGCCAACATCGAAGAGACATTGCCCGGGTCCAAGGATGCAAAAAAGTGCGTCAAGCCTGGGACTCGAACCCAGAATCTCCAGCTAGAGGTTAACAACCGGAAACTGGCGCGTTAACCATTACGCTAACCCGACGACGACGACGTTCTCCGGCATGTTGAACCCAACGAGGGGAATAGCTGTACAGTGCTCGACCAGCGACTTGAAGTAATTCTATCGCAGTGAGCGGTCAACGTGTTGCGGATCAGATATGGAACGCCTGTAAGCCCCACCCCATTCCTAACGTGCATGCCAGCTGAACTTAAGAGCTTCCAGGCTCGAGACAATCCCACCAGAGCTTTGGCATGCTGTTTTCAGCTTACTCCCAAGATACTACATACCGAACGTCGTTTTGACATGCTCGACATTTCGGTTCATTGCCCAGACCCTCCTCTTCAAGCATCTATATGTTCGTATTGTTACAGAACTGATCTTCACGAATGGCGTTGCCCGCCAAAAGCAACTCCTTCGCCAGCCGTTGAGTGGAGTCTCTGAGCGGCTCCGATTTTTCAGCAGTGACCGTATTGCGCCAGCCGTAGAGACGTGTCATCTGCTTATATGTCCTCCTCTGGATGGTGAGGAGGTAGAAGAGATGGAACCTACGACGACATTGTTATCGGAAATATTTTTGGAGATGTTACACAAGTTCCCAAATCTCACCTCCCTCACACTTCGTGGACTCTCTCTCGACGCATCGAAGTTGGGTCTGATTCATCGTGCGAGGAGTATCAAGGCCTTGCGACTTGTCGAATGCGAGATCATTTACTCTCCATCCCTCCCTCGACTTTCTATCGAATCACTCACGGTGGGAGGAACCACAGACATTCTATCCATGACATCCGAGCGAAACTACCCGCGCAACGGAGCGCTCGGAATCAAAGAGAATCAGAATTCCATCCCTCAACTCCCATTCCTCGACCTTTCCTCGCTTTCCCAATTCTACGTTCTCCGTTCTTTCGGGGGTTCGTGGGCGGTAGATTGGAACGACCCATTAACAAGTCTGACCACCCTCCATCTCACATCCAGTTTCATGATCGTCCCCGACTTCCGTAGATTCTTCACCAACTGCCCCAACCTAGAAGAAATCCGACTACTTGGACCCCTCGAGGTACCCCGATATCGCAGAAATAACCAATGTACCCCACAACCTCTCAAGTCGAACCTCTTACCTAAACTGCGATCCTACACGGGTCCTCTCGAAGCCTTCCCATTCTTCGCCCATCTTCCACTCCGTTCCATCACATTCACCTGCCATTCACTCCGGGGTTGGCCAGAATCGATTGACGATTCGTGTTCCTTCCGCTTGGCAGAGGATATCGTGACGATATTGAACCACTCGCGCTCCTTGGAGATTGTGGAACACCTTACGTTTCGAACGTTTGAGTTTACGCAGCTGTTATCCAATTTCATCCGTGATCGGATGGATTCCTCTCTCAAAGAGTTGAATATATCTTTGAGGACGGGTGTTTGGGAGGACGACGCAGCGCTCGAGGTTGAGCTTTCTCCTTTAATGAACGTTATGTATCCTGATACCCTTCATCTCTGGTCTAGATGATGAAAGGCACCGTCTCGTTCTACCTACCACTTAACCTCGCCCGGTTGAAGATCTATACAAAGCTGAAGTCCGCGACGAGAATCGATGAGGCCAAGTTCTTGGCCGATACACGGGTTCGGTGTAAACACCTGAAAACTCTGGTCTTCACTTATGCGTACGACAAGTATAGTGAAGCGTTACTATGGGAGAGCGAATAGGGCTATGATCGTTGGGTTGTCATCTCATAGATCTCCATCACCAGTCTTTGTCCGACCCATCACCCTCCCCCTTTCTTGGCTCCCTTTCCGTCAAGTGAAAGACGCGAAGCACATGTGTACTCCCCAGGTTGTCAACCTCTTTGCTTCTCTTTTGTCCTCACCATATGATGATACTTATGGCTCGAAGGACATTCGGGCGTCACGGCTCCAGCCGGAACGCGGCCACGTAGTCTGGAATCTCAAGCTTTGGCTGGGTGTGCGCCAACCACACCATCCACTTCCATCTTAGGTCGTCTATCGGCGAAGTATGTGAATTGAGAATTCCCAGTAGTGTGGTCCCCTCAAGGCTGGTTGATGATTACGTCGAATTCGTGGAGTTAGGGTGTCCTTCCTCTGGACGTTTGTGACTTTCCCGTGCTTGTCAGGTGCTTGTACGTGGAATCCTGTTGACATATTTTCAGGCGACGCCGGCGGTGGAGTTTTGGGTTTAATTGAGCAAGAGGTCGTAATCCCCGGCGGCCCAGCACAGCCACCAACGTGCTTCGCGATCTCCGAGGTGATCTGCTCGGAACCAAAAGGAACGAACCTTATCTGGCACCAGAACTGCAGCTTGTCAGCTGCAAACGCACAGGCGCGACGGTCGCACTGTGTGGGCAAGGATGAGACCAATTTTGGAGCGGATGATAGGATTATTGGCTTTTCTCGAAGGGGTTCTAGCGTGGATTGTCGGTTAGACTCCCGACCCGTGGCGTTCTGGTGGGGGAATTGGTCTGGGACGTGCGCTGCAATCGCACTCTGCTGGCGGATAAAAGTATCAGCTCGGCCTCCGTGTCCTGAGTTCCACTCTTTCCTTGGATATCCCTCTTCTCTTTTCGGGCTCGTTCTTCCCTTTCTCGCCTTTGCTCCTTGGGTACCAACTAACCGGCGACATCCTCCACGACCATGCGCCCCTCCAAATTTCGCGTTGCCATTTGGTATGCATCCCCTCACCTGAACTCCTCCCAGTCCAAACATAAACGCTTATTTTTGTTGTGCGGAACAGCGGAGGAGGCGTTGGAGGCCTCACCTTCGCAGTCGCTCTCTCTGGATACCCAGACATTGCGGTGGATATTTATGAAGCAGCCAACACCTTTACCGAAATGGGTGCAGGGATCGGCATGTGGCCCAGGACGAGAAAGATTATGAGATCCCTCGGGCTGGAGGACGGTGTGAAGAAACTTGGCAAATGCACGGAGTTTGGACAATCTGGTAGGGATATTCGTATCTGTTGTACATTGAATTCGTTAACCTCCTAAGCACCTTCCAGCACCTGTGTTCCATTATCGGAAGAGCGACCAGCCCGAGGGATTTGATTTTTTTGATTTGAGCACACCTGGTACGTCCCTCGTCCCTGTCGTCACACTACACACAGTCCTCTGATCATCGCGCTCATCCCACATCCAGGTGGACTTACAATGCTCCACCGAGCCGCATTCCACCAGTTCCTCCTCGACCGCCTAACCCACACCCAAGTCACAACCCACACCTCAAAACGTCTCACCTCTTACACGCAACCTTCCCCCTCTCCCTCGCCTATAACTCTATCATTTCAAGATGGAACGACGGCAACTTGTGATGTCCTCATCGGCGCAGATGGGTACAGGTCGGCTATTCGCGCTGGGATGGTACAAGAGATGTTTGATGCTGGTGTTGATCTGGGTTGTTTGGAGGGGGAGGGAGTTGAGAAGTTGAAGGAACCGATGTGGAGTGGGACCGTTGCGTGGAGGGCTATGGTTCCGTTTCAGAAACTTGAGAAGGTGTTGCCGAGGCATCGGGCGATGTGTGAACCCACGCAGGTCTGTTTCAATCTCGTTTCTGCTAACATCGGGACTGAACCTCTTATTTCATGGTCTTAGTACCTAGGGAAGAACGGTGTACGTTATTCTTGCCCCTTCCCTCGTTCGTCCACCACCTCTAATTATTTCTGACGTCACCAGTTCATCATAATGTACCCCGTAACACAACAAGGCGAAAAGCTACTCAACTTTGTCGCGTTCCGTATGAAACATGACTTGGAAGGTACACCCTACCATGGACCTTGGGTCGCCAAAAACCAATCAAGAGAGGATTTCGAGAGGGATTTCGAGGGATGGGAGACGGAAGTGCAGGATTTGATCAAGGTACGAATCTTAACCTTTAGATTGGTGGCGTTTAGCTTTTGGCTGATTGTCGGTGTATTTTCGGATTTTTTTAGTGTGTGGAGAAACCACTGCTGTGGTCAATACATGTTGCGAGACCCTTGCCTAGTTTCGCTCACAAGAGAGTGGCGATTATGGGCGATGCGGTAGGTCGTTCGTCGCTACTTTGGAGTTGCTTATTTCTAAATGTCTTTTGTCGTTATAGGCGCATGCTATGCTGCCCCATCAAGGCTCCGGAGCAGGCCAAGCCATTGACGTTCGTACCACACTCTCGTATTCAATCGGTGACAGTATTGATCTCGATGAATATCCTGTAGGACGCATATACCCTAGCGAAGCTGCTCGGCCACCCATTAACGACCGTCTCAACCCTACCTACCGCTCTCGCGGCATACGACTCTGTCCGAAGACCATTCGCGATGGACATTATGTCTCGTTCTCGAGAAGCTGGTCGGTTATTCACGTTTTATCACCCCGAACTTGATTGTTCTGTGGGCGGAGATGAAATGGATCATCGCAAGAAATTGGAGGAGATGTCTGAGAGGTTGGTGAGGAATTGGAAGTGGGCTTGGGAGAGTGAGATTGATGGGGATGTGAAGAAGGCTTTGGGGATGTTTGAAGCGAAAGTCGGGAAGGGGAGTGTACGGAATGGTGTTAATGGCACGAATGGATATAGTTGTTAGTACGTCGTTGTGTTCTGCGTGTATGATTGGCTTGGATTGGTGGTCTTGTATCTATGTCTGGTTGTTGGAGATTAGTGATGAATACTTGTATAATCAGTTAACCGGTTTTGTTTCTGTGCTCTTTACTTACCCTCGGAGTCACAGCTACTGTATACATGTCGTCTGCGGATCAGGTTTCTTTCGTCCCCGAAAGCACCGAGCGCGTTTGGTTGGCATGGATGCAAACACCGAAGTCGTGAGGACATAGTTGGCGGATCGGTGGGATAGATGTCCCTCGGACTACCTCGGAATCACAACAATGGTCAATCTTGGTTGTTTAGAGATCGGAGAAGGTGCAAGAGCCCCTCTGGAGGTGCATCCTAACCTATCTCAACCCCCGAGTTCACCGAGAGACCTTTTGGTGATCCACCAGGCAACAGATTCAGAAGGGCGGGAAGCTCGGAGGACTTGGATGTGCATCCATTCCTCGGCGGTGCGTCATAGC